ATTATTCTATACACCTCGTGCGAATTCCGCCCCCCACCCCCCATTTTATCCACGTTATTGAGATACTGCGTTCCGAAACTCAACTAGGAATTGGACAAATAATGTGAAAGGTGATTTTAAAATATACTATAGTTATAAATTACCTGTCATTAGTCATTATTAATTTGATATTAATTTGAATTGGCATTAAAAATGTAAACACATCATGAATAATTTAAACGAAACCAAACAATTTGATATTCAAAGAAGATCTTCAAAAGAGCAATGCAATTTTATTTCAACTAAAGTTGATTATATAGTCATAATATATGACATTGATGCAATTATACACTTACTGATTTAACACCGAGCGACCGAGCTAGGCCAAAACAAATTAATATTTTTTACCTAATAATAGTCTTAAATCTCTGTGTGACGACTTTGAATCAAAAAAAATTTAAAAAAAATTGTTTGAAACATTTAATAGGTAATAATGTTTTTTAATTTGTTTATGTATGATAGGAAATTCTAACTATAGTTGATAAATTATTTTACTTATAATACAATATAATATCTTATCCAACAAACTTTGTTAGTTGAATATTGCATACCATCGTAAATTTCTCGTAAATTTCCAACGCCGTAAAATGCCTCGATTGGTGTCTATTATTATATTTAAATAATAATATTTTTATACAGGTATAATATCTTTGATTTGATCCGTTTTAATATTCACTTCGGTTCAGCGTTACTTATGTATTATATATTATTATATTATTAGCTCACCGCTGCTATCTTGACATTAATTATTTGTTCATAATAATATTATATGGTCTGATTTTTTCGTTTATCCCGTAAATATTTACACCATTTTGTATACTATTAAGTATTATTGTGCACCTACAAGAAAGCATCACGGATACTATTATTTTGTTTTACCTGCTTTGATAATAAACTAGAATATTAAAAACAACAAAGCTGTTTTGGAAACGCGGAACCGGCCAAAACGTATGGTATAGTATAATGAGGCACTAAGTGTGGTTATTATTGTTGCGTATCGCGTGGCGTAACTTAACGTGGTGGTGCTTTTGGGTTTCTTCTTTAGAAAAATTGGCACAAATATATATTATGTATTATGACGCACTTATTGTTATAAATTGTAATATAAAATCGATCGTGCCAACAGATATAAAACGAATTAACCGACGTCGTGGTTTTGTCGTTTTATAGTGTTCGCACAGGTACGTACTATAAATACCGGAATAATACTTTCTCGCGCTTATACGACAGTGTGCACTGTAAGGGCGGCGGTGGCTGAGCGGATATAGTCAACGGGGGCAAATGTGATAAATCCGTGTCGCTTGATCTGCCGTGCTGGTCATTATGCGCATAGCGAATACGACGTGTGTGCGTGTGTGTGTGTGTGTGTGTGTGTGTGTGTGTGTGCGTGCGTGCGTGTGTGTGTGTGTATATGGATGGGTACCGAGAAGTTTGCCCAGACGCGAGTGTCTCGAGTGTTTCCTATGAATCATATTTACGATTGAATTATATCGTTAAACCCTCCCCGCGGTGTTTCAAAAGAAAATGTTGCTGCGACCTGCAGCAGTTAAAATAAATTAATATTAATATTTTCTGCGCAGACGAAAGTGGTAATTCATTTCCCACGACACACTAGTTAAAATTTACAACAAATTCTAAAAACATTACGTTGATTGTACCATAAAACTGTACGGATCGTAGGAATATATAAATGAGATAAAAAAAAAAATTGATAATTAATTAACTATGTTGTGGTACAGCGGTCGTGTATATATTATATAATGGTATACAAAACAATAATATCCGATTTCCTAGCGGTACCAAGAGTTAGAAGCAATAGTCTACACACGTTGTTTCGGTATTTTTAAACATATACGTTTTTCTCATAGAATTTGCACGAATATGATATTCCAAGTTCGAATGCTTCGACGCGCGTGCAGTGTGAGTAAATCGTGCGGCGCAACAAAAATTTCACTTGACGTCGAACAATACCCATTTCGCCCTCGGAGTAAAATCTGTAATCACAATATATATGTATGGCGTTATCGGCTTCTCGTTGTTACAACTACTATCGTTCGATGAAATATAATGAAAATCCAATTCGCCACGGATTTTTTTTTCCCAAAGAAGCGGGATTATACCAACAATAAAACCAAGTTCAAATCTGCATTGTCCGAAATGTGCGGACCGTGGTAGTGTTCAATATCGAATCGAAGGTCGAGGCTACAGTGAAATATTGTACGTTATGATTTAATATCGTCCGATTTACACGTTGTACCCTTCCCACCACAAACATTGTTGAATCAAAGATACGATTTCGAAATTTCAGACGATTATTTAAATAACGAGGACTATAGCAGATATTATTATCTTACGTAATATACCTACGTGCACGCGCCTTCTCTTTAGGCCGCAGACGTGAAATGCAGTACGTCGCAGGGAATGAATATAATAATATTATTATCAAATATTAATATGTGGGTATACCTATAAAACATAATATTATTATTGATCATAATTCTCATAAAATATCGGTATTTATTTAACCTGCATTCTTGTTATTACATCGAAGAGCGTAGTGTCCTACTTAAGAAAATTTTCTTCGGTTCACAAAATAGGAACATAACTCTATATAATATATATGTATATATAGTATAATGACAAACATAATTTGCCACGAAAGTCATTATTTATTTTTTATTTCAACAATGTCTGGTAATCGTACACTTGATCGGGGTCCAAATAATAACGTAGCTACCGACTAAAATTTTACTCGAATGACAATTCTCTTGGCTCTTACCATTTTCATGTATTGCCATTTGCCACCTTTAGCCAAGGCTTATAATTTTACGTTTGAAAACTTTCATTAACTTTTTGATTGCTCTTTCTTTGTATATTTCCTTGTAATTCTTGAGTTTAAGGAAACGTGATATCTTGCCCAGCACTCATGTTGTATTTTTCGTTCTAGTTTTATACACATTATTATACACACATACGCATAACTTATTACTAATTTATAAGATCGGTATAATCGTTACTCGTCATATGATATCTTTAATTTTAGATGGATGTATATATGTATATTGTGTGTATATATTATATTATATTATATAGTCTAATAATAGGCTAATTTATCCTATAACGCTGAGGCGGACGATAAAACCGTATCGATTTCCTAATACCTACTTAATACCTACAGCGAATGTATAATGCATATTTTATCCGTAATTTGTTATGCCGACGGGTCACAACAAATTCGGGTTATCTAGCTTTTTGTGCGAGTTAAAAAATGTTTAAGTTTATTTTGCTAATTTAGAACTCATTTACATGTAAAACCAATAACGGTGGAATTTAAAATACATAAAATATAAATTTTAACTAGATATTTTTTAGGGATTCTTGAAACGAATCAAACATGCAAACAATAGTATAGAACTCGCAGGGAATAAATAACTGAAACTACCTGCGATGTACGTGTGTAAATTACCGAATTGGAGTTCGATACTACAATTCGGTCGTTGTTCGTTACATAAGTTTCCCTGCTGTACAAAATGTATAAAAACAATGAATGAATATTACGTATACAATAAATACACAATACTAACACGTCACACGCACACACACACACACACACACACACACGTGTATTTGTGTTATGTTGTTCAGTGTTTATTGATGCATTAGTTAATTAGTAGACATCGCATAATGCTAATTAAAAGAGGTGAAACGCGCCGAGTTCCAACCCGTTGATTATTGTAACCACACGATATATTAATGATTATTATATTGGCATATACATATTATTCGTAACGGTACACCTATGTGTGTTTCGCAACAAAACAAAATCGTACATATATATATTTTTTAATTTCGTCGTGAAACTTTAAATTTTTATTTAAGAACTCTTACAAGATTTTAAAAATTTAGAATTATTGAAAAATGTAGAACAGTACCTGCTTAGGTATGTCGTAAAAAATTGTAACGTTTTTGTAAAATTATATAATTCTAGAATAAGTTCTAGAAAAAAAAGCATCCTGCAATGTAGTAATAGAGATACCACAACTATTGCGAATCATGTACTCTCCGCCAGAATGACAGCGATATAGATTTTGATTATGTACGCGATAGTAATTATGTTCATCTCATAATGTACTTTCTTTAACTCTTCGAGTATATAACGTGTTGTTCGAACAGTTTTATAATCAAATCATATACCCGAGAGTCGTTAGTAATTATCATATAAAATTAGTTTTTTCTACATTTATCTCATTAGTAACATTACCATCTTAACGATTTTAATTATACTTAAAAAAAAATAGCAACGTTTTAATAACACGGGATATCTATGTAAACAATATATAATTATTGCGAAAGAAAATGCATTACGTTTCTAATTATTGTATAGGTACTTCATGCATCGACTCGACCATAATATGATGGGAGAGGACTGATGATGTATTATTAAAAGATATAACATTGAACGTAGACAATAATTTATTGTGGTGAGAAATTATGAATCAATACGACTATTATTATATCGGTTTGGTAGGTACCTATTGAAATAAATCAATTACATTATTCGTTCTAAGATCTGTACATAAATTATATAGGGTTCTTTATTGTCGAAACGGTAATGTCCTCTTATAACTATTGGTGATGTCAACTGTATGAAATAACGAGTATAGCTGAACAAACCACTAATATTGTGTTAGGTAGCAACGTAATGGATTTGCGGGCGACATAAGATATGACAAAAAATGTTTAAAACAATGACCGAAATCTGTAATAATATCGGTACCTACACTGAATAATCGTTAAATAATTGGGTGACGTAGAGTAGTGTGACGATAGCTCGTACAACGATGGATTAGTAGTCATTTGGTGACGTACAGGGCGTACGAAAAACTCCTATAATATACCCTAGGTGATAGAAAGCTTTACAAATAATATTAAAATTGTTTTCATTTCTGTTTCGTGCGCAGGTGCTACGGGTAACGACAACGACTGCAGGACAACGATAGCCTGCGGCATCAGTGGTTCCGAACCTTTGGCTAGCTCAGCTTTTTGCTCAAAACCCGAAGACGAGATGGAAAAATTGTCGCACAGAAGCAGCTCTTCGCTGGGCGTGGTGAGTGTTTTTATTTTTAGTAAAATAACAGTTGGGGGGGGGGGGCACTGAAAATTGGTAATGGACTGGTGGACCGTGTATATACTTATAATTTAAATCGTACACGTTACTATTTGCTTTATACGTTTTTGACGAATTCGGCGCTCCTGATCACCGCCGTGGTATATAGGGTTAAATTTTGAGTTAAAAGGAAGGCTGGTATTTGAGTACCTCAGGTATTTAAATACTTTTTACAGTATTCATTTGAGTATATATAATATACAAACTATGTATATATATATTCATTCGTTACAAGTTAATACACAAATTAGCCATCGATGAAAACATCATTATAGGTAGATACTCTCTACAGTCTACATATTGCCTATTAACCTAACTTAGCCATAAAATGAGTAAATTATCCTTTAAAACTAAAAATGTACAATAGTACTTATTGTATTTTTTTTTTTATACTATGAAGTATTAATATTGAAGTACAAGTATTTAAATACCATGTAAGTTCTTCAACGTTGCATATTGTACGACGATCGGTCAATATACCTAATTACTAACGGCTAGGATTTTACCACGGCAGTGATAGAAGTTTTTGATTAACAATTTAAAAACAAGTATTTGTTATTTTTTGGTATGATTATTGATAAAACATTAATAGTGTGAATTAGATAAGAGCGAGAAGACAAATCATCAACACGTTTGTTTAATGTGTGGCTCTTGTTGCGTCATCGACACTTACCGAAGTTTGTGCATATTATGTAGAACAGGGTGAGATTTATCGCGTTCGAAAATACTTTAGATAGTATTTATCATTATGAGTGTGTTTTTGCGTTTAATCCGCACGATTCGGACGCTTCCGCTCGGTGTTAAAATTGTTCCTCATCAATTTGGGAAGAAAATTCCGGAAACGTTTTGTGGTCGCCGGTCGGGGTGAGTAGTGAGTTATATCGCGAATTATTTTTAATGCGGACGGGCCACTATAATCTCTTTACGTTTAACGAATAGGATGTCGTAATAGCAACGATTTAGATTCTAAATCGTGGATCTGGGGAATTCTGATCCATTGGTTTATTTCACGGGATGTGTCTTATTTTTTAAATACCTAGCCATAATGGAGATTTTAATGAAATTGGAAAATGTACACAGATTGAACAAATGGCCATTTTTTAGTATTTTTTAAGAAAACTAGGAAAACAGCACACGACTATTGAATTTAACTAGCACATATGTTTGACAAAATATTGTCCACATTTTTGGTATAGGCACTTACTTTTTCACTTGGTAGCAATTGTTGTCGTTCCCAAGCTTAAACTTATAGAAAATGTGAGTATCGCATATATTCGCATTACAGTATATTATAGTAATTAGTAATTACAGTATCAAAGTTTACTTATCCATAAATTATTTATTAATTATAAATATACAAACATTATAACAACAGATGTGCCGCATGGCTTTTTTTTAATATTAATACAAGTCATTAGTTTAATTCTAAATATTTTCAAACGCTTAATGAAAACTAGCGTTAAAATAAAATCATTTTTTTTTTAAACCTCTACACCGGGTCACAGTTATAATGATCTCATTTGTAAATTTAATCTTAACCAACTGCGTACTTGCCTACGCCCGAGTGAAATTATACGTTTTGTGAGACAAAGGAGACGAAACGCGGCTGTTATATACTTTTTCGGTAGGTAATACGCGCACTTCACACGCGCTTGCCGTTTTTTATTTCTTTCAGTACTTTTACCAAACAGCACGTGAATTTTAAACAATGCAAATTATCAGTTGATACGACCGAACACCGTAGTGCGCTATCTTCACTTTTGGTTTCCCCTCGCAATATATACGATTTTACGTGTTTACGATGTCGTCGCAGTTTGTATTATTTTGCCCAGGATTTATCGTGTTTAATTCTGCTGGATTTCGCTCAAGTCGAATGCGGCAAGGCCCGATTAATTTTTTTTATGTTAATGTGCTCGTTCGGCGCAACTTAAGTGTTTTCGAAGGATTTTATTATTTTTTCTCCTCGGCAAACGAAATCAACACAACTTTCAAGGTTTCCCATCTCGCATTTCGCCGTTTTTCCCTCGGATTCACTTTGCGTTTATATATATATATATTATATGTATATACAGGTGTACACACGCACACTCTAAACTTTTGTACGTTTCATTATTATACGATTGTAAGATTATTGCTGCAACGAAGAAACTCGCGCTTTATACCACCACTCCCAACTACGAAATGTTTCGAATTATTAAATTATTATTTTTCTCTCGCCTCTGCGATGTTGTTATATACTTATGATGTATAAAAAAAATAATACAACGTCTCCCGTGCCGTGGCTGAACCCGAAATCTGCGGTCGTATATTTCATTTAATCGTAGCTGCACCGCCGTTTATTTCACTATAACTACCGCCACCGCCACGTCCCTTATTTCTTTATCGCGGTTCTTTAATTCTCTCCGTAAACTCCGCGATACCATCTTATGAATAATAATAATAATAATAATAATAATAATAAACGTCTAGGCTATATATGTATATATGTATATATGTATGCATTATGTTATTAACTCGCGCTCGTTTAAACTCCGTTAACGAGAGCGGCGATTCCAGAGCGTTCATATAATAGTCGTTACGCGATTACGCTTAAAACTAGTACCTACCTATAGTATTATCGAGCGTCTCCACGTAATACAGAGCGAATTTCATAACTTATTTTTATCGCAATACACTCTTATCCAGGCACTAGATGAACAGTTTTATTTTTAACAATAATAGGATGAAAATATTTTTTGAATCGTGAAAAATAGTACCTAGTAGCAGTAGTGGGTATAGCATCCGTCAGTGTACGGCACTAGACACGTCATAAAATGTAACGGAAATAATGACAAATCGTATACAACGGTCGATGGATGAAAGTAAGCTGCAGTGCATGCGGCTCCGCTGAAGTGACGTATAACATATTGTAATAATTGTAACATCCCTCGTGCATCAAACGTTTCGCAAATTAATAATCGATTCGTGCCGGTGGTTTTAAATTTTAATTAATAATAATCAACTCGTGACGCTTTTCACGTCACGAAACCGCGACGACGTGTCTCAAGTTTACGACAGAGGTTATAGCGAAATAAGAGGGCAGATTTGGAGCTCAAACTGAGTATGAGTGTGTGTATAAATTACAGCCGTCGTTACTTGGACGAATTGTTGTCGTCCGCCGTAGCGCAGCCACGACAATTATAGGTATAACTTGTCAGACCATATAGACTATTATATTGTCGGTTTTTGCTCGTCGTCGTTGAACCGCCGCGGATGATTTTAACACTTAACGTTATAATTTTCGTTTCGGAGGAAATGTTCAATTTCGGCACTCTTGAATTCAGATTTTTTTCAAATCTCCCGAGCGTAAATCCATTTCGTTTCGATGCATTTGAAGAATCTTTCGTTGTGTTGCATTTCCAAAAACTAATCTGCACATACGCAATACTGTATATATTATTATATATTATTATTGTACATCAAATAAAAAATGCGTTGTATGTAATAATATAGTGGCTTAACGTTTGTTTTTCTCCATTTACAGGCCAGAAGCGATTCCATGGCGTCCGTGTACTCTGGCGCCGGAGAGGGCAGGTATGGCACAGTGCCTATCAGGGGTGAGGTGGAGTTTGGTCTTCAGTACAACTATAAAGCGGCACAGTTCGAGATCAACATCAAACATTGTCGCGACCTGGCAGCTGCCGATCCCAAACGAAACAGATCCGATCCGTAAGTACAATGACCATATTAAGTGTATTCCGAATCCACGAGGTGTACGATAGACGCCTTACGGTATCGATCTAGAGTTATTTTTAAGGACGTTTTTAGTACAACAACTTTCCTCGCAAGAAAAACTCCCAACGCCTCGTGCACCAATCGCACTTATACCAGTAACTTGAAATTGCATGCCTTAATTTTTGAACCTTAATAAATAGTCAGCTCCGACAGTCTTAATACTAATATTTATAAAAGCCTTACACTCTTACAACGTGTATCTACCGTCAAAATGAATCGTTATTAAACATTATAGGTAATATATATGCTCGTACCGCGCGTCATCGATTTACATTTTTTTTTTCTGTCGATTGCATTCCTAATAAATTTATTAGGGATTCGAGCTCATGATTACAACAAGCCTGTAAAATATTTTTGTTAAAAGTCAGGTTTGATAAAAAAATAAAAGAAAAAAGCCATACCTTGAGATACAAATATACAATCAGTGACCGTTGTATACATCGTTTTTTTTTTTTGTTTATAGCTACGTAAAAGTGTACCTATTGCCTGACAAATCCAAGGCTGGCAAGAGAAAGACTAGAGTGAAAAAGCACACGATGAACCCAATATTTGATGAGGTACTTAAGTATAGTCTACCTTTGGAAGAGCTCAACAGCAGAACACTATGGTTAAGTGTGTGGCACTCGGACATGTTCGGGCGCAACAACTTCTTAGGTGAGGTCCAACTTCCTCTGGAAAACATGATATTTGACGATCCATCACCAAAGCTCTACCCACTTCAGGAACGAGTTAGTATTATTTTATTTAAATAAATAACAATAATGACTGTGATTTTGTATATTACAGACAGAACCTTTAGATGATACTATGTGTGTCAGTAACAAAGGCGAAATTATCGTCGGACTGAAGTGTGTACCACCCGACCCGAACTCAAAAAAACGTACCAAAGGCACATTCCTTCTGCTAGTGAAAGACGCAAAGAACCTTCAAGCGATCAAGTCAAACGGCTCATCCGATCCGTTTTGCAAAAGGTGAGTAACAGGCCAAAATGGTACATTTTTAAGAGCCGCAAACGAAACGAAACAATTTATACAAAAGATAGACAATACATTTTTTATGTTAATTCTTTTAAACAATGTAATTTATGCTAATCTATGTTTACCCAATTTTCCAGTTATTTGTTACCCGACAAGGGTCGTAGTTCCAAGCAGAAGACCAACGTGGCCCGAAAGACGTGCAACCCGAACTGGAACCAAACGCTTACGTACCGAGACGTATCTCCAGAAGAATTGGCGGAGCGGAGTCTGGAATTGACCGTTTGGGACCACGATCGGCTGGGCAGCAATGAGTTTTTGGGAGGCGTCCGCCTATCATTGGGCTCAGGTAATTTATTTTTTAATCGACAAATAACCAATTTTTGAAAATAAAAAGTCCGATGATTTACTTAAAACCGCGGTTCCCCACGATAATATATAGACAAATATAATAGTAGGTAAAATTCACGCCGAAATATGCTGTCAGTTTGCGACAAACCATCATTGGTGGGGAGGGGGGAGAGACATACCGTAGCAATCATCAACCCAATCCGACGACGAACTTTTTTTCTGTGATGATAATGACATCTTGAGTTGACTGTTGCAATCACGTAGAACGGGTTTTGAAAAGTACGCACGACCTCTCTCTCTCTCTCTCACTCACTCCGTTATAATGGCAATAATAATAATTATTATCATCGGTGTTTTCCGGCCACGATATCACAATTCACAGTATAATAGAACGTATACGCCGTAATAATGACAATGGTAATTTTCACCTGCCGGTCGGTATGGGCGGCGACGACAACGGCACGTCGAAAAAGTAATGTATTATAATTATCGATTGGAGAGGACGTCGCATCGTACAAAGTTTCAAAAACCCTATGTGCGTGATCTAAACTCACCACTCTGCGTACGCGTCCATTAAGGAACAACCGAACAATCACTTATTTTTATCGTAGATAGTTTGAAGGACTGTATTGTGGCGTAGAATGTTAATAGCATAAAACGATTTAATCAGTGGCGTATTTATTTTGGGGAGGGGAAGGTTCCCAAGAAATGTATAATAATCCTATAGGTATATTTTCTTGAACTTACGAAAAAGAATAAAACAAGATGATAGAAAATGTTTTTATTTATTGAAGAATATTTAGTACCTTGATGTAGGCAAATATGTTAGGAGAATTAATAATAGTGTATTTATGTATATATTATAAAATAATTTCACCACCTGTTGTTTTCTACTAAATTTTCAATCCATTTGTGTACACATGACGAGTGTTAATTTACTTGGATGTTGTGTGATCAGCCGTGCAGTATTTTGATGAATGTAAATTCTTACACGAGTACCTATAACATTTGATATGTTAGTTCCGATTCGAAAATTAAATAAAAAAAATAAAAAAAATATGAAAATTTCTGCACAGAAATATGTTAAAAATTATTGTTTGTAATTTAACTTACGAATCCGGAATATTACGAAATTTATTTATATTTATGAGAAACCCTGTCAATACATATCTACATTATTATCTAAATATCTCACGTAGAAACTTATACATATCCTTTTTAGGTTTGTGTAAGACCTTACCATCCCCCCCCCCCCATGCGTGCGGTTATTTATGATCACAATAGGTGAACGATTTAATTTTTAGCCCTTCACACGGGGTTATACAATTATTTCTTATGCCTAAGTATAACTTACACTCCCCCACAAAAAAAAATTATAATAATAATATATTATACTCCACTGGATTTGGTTGTTAGGCAATTATATATTATTTAGTATATACTATATTATAGCTCCTATATGAGCAATATGAAATTGATAATGTCTAGAACGAATGTATAGGTTAAGTTAATATATGTCCATAAAAGAGTAGCTCTGTTATTTATACTTAAAAATAAGGAAATACTTACCAATGTTTTGATGTTGATTTTTTTTTTAAAAAATATGTTTTTTTCAGGTATGTGTGACGGTAAACCAGTCGACTGGATGGATTCCAACGAAAAAGAAACTGCCTTGTGGCAGAGGATGTTGGACAGGCCAAACTTTTGGGTCGAAGGTTGCCTGACGTTGCGACCGTCGTTGGAGTTAGCGAGCAAAAATTAAAACTAATATCCGTTTATTTTTTATACATACAAAAATCATTTATTTTATTCTTCAGACGTATATATATGTCTTCGTATATTTTTTTTAATTATTATTATTATTCCGCGTCGTGATGTACGTTGTGCGTACATTGTATTAGTATCATCATTAATGATTTTATCATTATTATGATACAGTATTATGTAGGTAGATACTCACCGACGTGTAAATTGGTCTTTGATTTTTTTTATTATTATTATTTCTAATTTTTTTTTATGTTTTGTTGTTTTTATATAAACGCTAAGAATATCTGTGATCTGAGAATATTTCGATCGTGTAACAAACGAAGAATTTATAATAGATAATTATAATGTTTCAGTCTTCCATTCGAATTTTGTACGCATCATATTAATATTACTATTATTATTATTATTATTATTATATAATACATATTATGTAGTTTTAATATTTACGTGTTTTTAGCTCGTACACGGATAATATTTGTGCGTTTTATGTGCATCTCGTGTTATTTATTTTTTGATAAATGTGCAGTATTTTTTATTTTATTTTACGTATTACTATTATTATTATTATTATTATAACTTACTAGGTATATAAGTATTAAGTATATTAGTATATTATATATATTATATACAATTCGTCCGATCGTAGAGCAAAATAGAAAATGGGTTGGGGAGAGTACTCTTTGGAGATTATCCTAAAAATAGTATGCATCTAGTTCGTTTGGAATGATGAACATTATAACTTTTCTGATAAGTAGTCAAAATATGTTTCTATCGGAAAACATTTAATGAATATTAAAGTGTTGTAAACATATTGCTGATAAATATAATATAATGTGTACCTATTATATGATGTGTACTGCAAAGTTCATTATTTTTTGTATATACTGTTTTTTTTTTTAACCTGCGCTTCTGTATCACTGTGTCAATAACTCTAAAATGCAACAACAGTTATAATAATATTGTTATACATAAGCTCACATAATATATTAATATTGTGTATGTGGTGTATATTTGTTTTTAAATTCAACATCGTGTATAAAATGTGCGACACAAGTGCGCCTGTTTGTCATTGTAGACGTTGATTACTCAACATGATTTGAGTTAATAGAAAAATTCAAATGGGGAAATAAATTAAATACAAATAAGAAAAAAATAAAATGAGATATGATTACTTTTTGTATGGGTTACTTTTCCTGTTCAGGAATGTAAATGCATATAAATACAACCCTGTGGAAAGCACTACACAGTATTTAATTATTTCTACAATTTACAAATACTTTTGCAGTACTTAGATATTTTTAGAAAAATTGCTGAGTTCTCTCTGTCTTTTTTCCATGTTATTATTTTTCTTATTTTTATCACTTAAGCTTGTTTTTAATGAAACAGATGGCAAATATAGAATTTTTAAAGGGAGAACAAATATGTAGAGGGATTTTTTAAACATACATGCACACTCTATTTCTCTGCATATATTCAAATTCTGAGTTTTGGAATTTTTAAATACATTTGAAGATCATAATATTTTGGAATCCTTGAGATTTTTTTTGCCACTTGAGGGTTGAGGATGATCTTGTGACAATACATAGTTCTGTTTTTCAAATAGGAACCCCCCTCCCCCTTTCATTATAATTATTAAGCGAATATTGATGTATCTTAATCAAAATTCAATCAAGTAGTTATCGAGTTATATAGCTGTGTCTACTACGGATTATATTTCTATGATATTGATATTTATTGTTTTTACATTTCAGCTCCTATATTTTAGTAAGCCCAGACACAAAGCGTGTAGTCCAAAATTGAAAATGTGCACTCTAGATTTGAGAAGTGTGTAGTGTGTACTAATAAATAAGACTACAGTCTACTGACCTAGTATGCAAACACTATTCATAAAAATTGAAAATTGAAAATTTTTTATTATTAAAAAGTAAAATTATCTGTAACAAAAATAAATGGTTTTCAGTTAAATTTTACTAAATAGCTCTTTAATTCTCTGCTTTTAATTGTGAATAGTGAGCACGCCGGATATAGATTCCAGAGTTTTATTATCAGCATTGTGAAGAAAATTCCCCATCATATTTTTTTTTTAATGTTATGTAGGTGGATAACTAGATAAGGTACAAAATAATATAATATCATTAACTGATAACCACAATTAAAAAAGGTAAAAACTCAAAATAATAAATTATTTATGTATTGAAAGTACTTGCTAGTACTATCCCAGTTGTTATATGACAAGAAACAGTTAAGGACACAGTTGAAGTATTAGCATACAATAAAAGATAATAATTAACAAGAAACAAAACACCAACAATTATACTATGTTATGCAAATAAATAATATTATGAAATATTATTTATATATTTATAAAACTATGTATTCATTTAATTTAATAGTGTCATTTGTTTTTAGATTTCTATTTCATAAGTATATTTTTTAGTTTGTAAAATAAAAATAGTTTGGTAGTTACCAACCAATAATGTATCATATGATTGTAGGGACTTAAAAAAATTTATACCAGGTATCAATCTTTAAGAAAAATAGGGGCCATGTGTAATGGGTTAAATAAAAAATTATTATGTTTATTATTGATACATCAATATAAATAGTTTGTAAAAATGATCCAAGTACCTGTCTATAATAAAATATACTACATCTAATATTACAAATTTAAATTTATAAATGCTTTTCTAATATTCAAATAATACAATTTTGATAGTTTTAGGCATTTTTATTAATATATTTCAAATTTGAATTCTACTTTTCAATATATTATATATTTATTGAATAATTACAGTATTTTAATACTATCCAGAAATAGAAATTTTACCCACAGTATTTGACACTAAACAACTAATAGTTAGTAGTTACCAATATACTACTAGGTACTTAGTAATTCTCATACCTATATTGTTAAATGATTTTTTGTATAGTCTTGTGCTTAAAACAAATAAATTGAATATAACTATCCGTGGCCTGTCTTTAGGTACATATATGTAGCCATGTAGGTATATACGAATATATACGCATGACCAAAGTTCTGATCAATTTTCTTCAAAATGCACGTAAGTATATGAATAATAGATTATACCACAGAATTACTATTGAACAAAAATAGCCAACCCCTTTAAATCTATAAAATTAAAATCAAAATTCAGTCGGATATGCAATTTGCATTCAAAATCAGTCAAAATAATTGGAAACGTCGAGATTTAACTTAAGTGTGAAATCTGCGAATATGTCGACATCACTGCCGGTTTGGTGAAATCATTGGCGATTTGCTTTTCAATTATTTTACAGTCCGAATTGAACGAAAATTAAATAGGTTTGTTACCCTAGTAACCCGAGGTCGAAATTTCGAATTTAAAACCGTTTGGTATTATGTTATTAATTTTGTAATTACAAATGAGTCACGGAAAACGGCGTTCCAAAAACCGGGTGCTAGGGTGAGATAGGATTACATTATAGCTACAAAAAAGAAGGAAAATCTTGTAATGTTATTGTATATAAAATAAATTGTAAAAATATAAAGTTAACATTTCAATGTTATTCGTCACTGACTATCAGTGTGTTCTTATATAATAAGATATTTTATTATTTATTTATATTGAAACTATAATTTAACTATTTATTACCAAGTGGCTAATAAATCAACTGATCAAACTGGTATTTTCCTATAATATCATGTGTATTATACAACAAATTATTATAATTTTATATTTAATATTCAGCATTTATGTTTTAATTCTAATCATATAACTTATTTTTTCATGTTCACAAATGTATGTCGTTATCTAAATAGTAAAACACGTGTCTTTATGAAAATTGTATTAAAAAGTAATTACAAATAATTAATGTATAACTCGTTATCTCTAACACAAACTATAAGCTTTTAAGAGATCGATATAATAATGTAAATAAATTTAGTATTTTCAATCAAAAAACGTAGTATAACTAAGATTATTATTCACTTTTAGATTAGTGCAAACTTTAATTATTTAATGTTTGGGGTGCTGAGGTACCTAACATAACCTTGGAACCCGGATATCGGAACATCGTTTGACTCTGGTGTGGTCACATTTTTTTTGTAGTAACAAATTGTTACACAATAAATAACATAATACTAAACGGTTTTCAAGTGAAAAGTTCGTCCTTGAGATGCCAGGGTAGCACAACTAAGTTAAATTCGAAAATTGTGCAAGAACGTTTACCAACATTCACTTTACATATTCGTGAGCACGGGGATGACTTGTAGGGCTACGAGTCGTGTAATAACCGCACTTGAAGTTTTTTTTCTTTTGGTAGGCACTAATAAATACTATCCCCTAAAGTCTTTTCCACCTTACTGCTGGNTTATTATTATTATTATTATAACTTACTAGGTATATAAGTATTAAGTATATTAGTATATTATATATATTATATACAATTCGTCCGATCGTAGAGCAAAATAGAAAATGGGTTGGGGAGAGTACTCTTTGGAGATTATCCTAAAAATAGTATGCATCTAGTTCGTTTGGAATGATGAACATTATAACTTTTCTGATAAGTAGTCAAAATATGTTTCTATCGGAAAACATTTAATGAATATTAAAGTGTTGTAAACATATTGCTGATAAATATAATATAATGTGTACCTATTATATGATGTGTACTGCAAAGTTCATTATTTTTTGTATATACTGTTTTTTTTTTTAACCTGCGCTTCTGTATCACTGTGTCAATAACTCTAAAATGCAACAACAGTTATAATAATATTGTTATACATAAGCTCACATAATTATATTAATATTGTGTATGTGGTGTATATTTGTTTTTAAATTCAACATCGTGTATAAAATGTGCGACACAAGTGCGCCTGTTTGTCATTGTAGACGTTGATTACTCAACATGATTTGAGTTAATAGAAAAATTCAAATGGGGAAATAAATTAAATACAAATAAGAAAAAAATAAAATGAGATATGATTACTTTTTGTATGGGTTACTTTTCCTGTTCAGGAATGTAAATGCATATAAATACAACCCTGTGGAAAGCACTACACAGTATTTAATTATTTCTACAATTTACAAATACTTTTGCAGTACTTAGATATTTTTAGAAAAATTGCTGAGTTCTCTCTGTCTTTTTTCCATGTTATTATTTTTCTTATTTTTATCACTTAAGCTTGTTTTTAATGAAACAGATGGCAAATATAGAATTTTTAAAGGGAGAACAAATATGTAGAGGGATTTTTTAAACATACATGCACACTCTATTTCTCTGCATATATTCAAATTCTGAGTTTTGGAATTTTTAAATACATTTGAAGATCATAATATTTTGGAATCCTTGAGATTTTTTTTGCCACTTGAGGGTTGAGGATGATCTTGTGACAATACATAGTTCTGTTTTTCAAATAGGAACCCCCCTCCCCCTTTCATTATAATTATTAAGCGAATATTGATGTATCTTAATCAAAATTCAATCAAGTAGTTATCGAGTTATATAGCTGTGTCTACTACGGATTATATTTCTATGATATTGATATTTATTGTTTTTACATTTCAGCTCCTATATTTTAGTAAGCCCAGACACAAAGCGTGTAGTCCAAAATTGAAAATGTGCACTCTAGATTTGAGAAGTGTGTAGTGTGTACTAATAAATAAGACTACAGTCTACTGACCTAGTATGCAAACACTATTCATAAAAATTGAAAATTGAAAATTTTTTATTATTAAAAAGTAAAATTATCTGTAACAAAAATAAATGGTTTTCAGTTAAATTTTACTAAATAGCTCTTTAATTCTCTGCTTTTAATTGTGAATAGTGAGCACGCCGGATATAGATTCCAGAGTTTTATTATCAGCATTGTGAAGAAAATTCCCCATCATATTTTTTTTTTAATGTTATGTAGGTGGATAACTAGATAAGGTACAAAATAATATAATATCATTAACTGATAACCACAATTAAAAAAGGTAAAAACTCAAAATAATAAATTATTTATGTATTGAAAGTACTTGCTAGTACTATCCCAGTTGTTATATGACAAGAAACAGTTAAGGACACAGTTGAAGTATTAGCATACAATAAAAGATAATAATTAACAAGAAACAAAACACCAACAATTATACTATGTTATGCAAATAAATAATATTATGAAATATTATTTATATATTTATAAAACTATGTATTCATTTAATTTAATAGTGTCATTTGTTTTTAGATTTCTATTTCATAAGTATATTTTTTAGTTTGTAAAGTAAAAATAGTTTGGTAGTTACCAACCAATAATGTATCATATGATTGTAGGTACTTAAAAAAATGTATACCAGGTATCAATCTTTAAGAAAAATAGGGGCCATGTGTAATGGGTTAAATTAAATAAAAAATTATTATGATTATTATTGATACATCAATATAAATAGTTTGTAAAAATGATCCAAGTACCTGTCTATAATAAAATATACTACATCTAATATTACAAATTTAAATTTATAAATGCTTTTCTAATATTCAAATAATACAATTTTGATAGTTTTAGGCATTTTTATTAATATATTTCAAATTTGAATTCTACTTTTCAATATATTATATATTTATTGAATAATTACAGTATTTTAATACTATCCAGAAATAGAAATTTTACCCACAGTATTTGACACTAAACAACTAATAGTTAGTAGTTACCAATATACTACTAGGTACTTAGTAATTCTCATACCTATATTGTTAAATGATTTTTTGTATAGTCTTGTGCTTAAAACAAATAAATTGAATATAACTATCCGTGGCCTGTCTTTAGGTACATATATGTAGCCATGTAGGTATATACGAATATATACGCATGACCAAAGTTCTGATCAATTTTCTTCAAAATGCACGTAAGTATATGAATAATAGATTATACCACAGTATTACTATTGAACAAAAATAGCCAACCCCTTTAAATCTATAAAATTAAAATCAAAATTCAGTCGGATATGCAATTTGCATTCAAAATCAGTCAAAATAATTGGAAACGTCGAGATTTAACTTAAGTGTGAAATCTGCGAATATGTCGACATCACTGCCGGTTTGGTGAAATCATTGGCGATTTGCTTTTCAATTATTTTACAGTCCGAATTGAACGAAAATTAAATAGGTTTATTACCCTAGTACCCCTAGGTCGAAATTTCGAATTTAAAACCGTTTGGTATTATGTTATTAATTTTGTAATTACAAATGAGTCACGGAAAACGGCGTTCCAAAAACCGGGTGCTAGGGTGAGATAGGATTACATTATAGCTTCAAAAAAGAAGGAAAATCTTGTAATGTTATTGTATATAAAATAAATTGTAAAAATATAAAGTTAACATTTCAATGTTATTCGTCACTGACTATCAGTGTGTTCTTATATAATAAGAATAATAAGATATTTTATTATTTATTTATATTGAAACTATAATTTAACTATTTATTACCAAGTGGCTAATAAATCAACTGATCAAACTGGTATTTTCCTATAATATCATGTGTATTATACAACAAATTATTATAATTTTATATTTAATATTCAGCATTTATGTTTTAATTCTAATCATATAACTTATTTTTTCATGTTCACAAATGTATGTCGTTATCTAAATAGTAAAACATGTGTCTTTATGAAAATTGTATTAAAAAGTAATTACAAATAATTAATGTATAACTCGTTATCTCTAACACAAACTATAAGCTTTTAAGAGATCGATATAATAATGTAAATAAATTTAGTATTTTCAATCAAAAAACGTAGTATAACTAAGATTATTATTCACTTTTAGATTAGTGCAAACTTTAATTATTTAATGTTTGGGGTGCTGAGGTACCTAACATAACCTTGGAACCCGGATATCGGAACATCGTTTGACTCTGGTGTGGTCACATTTTTTTTGTAGTAACAAATTGTTACATAATAAATAACATAATACTAAACGGTTTTCAAGTGAAAATTTCGTCCTTGAGATGCCAGGGTAGCACACCTAAGTTAAATTCAAAAATTGTGCAAGAACGTTTACCAACATTCACTTTACATATTCGTGAGCACGGGGATGACTTGTAGGGCTACGAGTCGTGTAATAACCGCACTTGAAGTTTTTTTTCTTTTGGTAGGCACTAATAAATACTATCCCCTAAAGTCTTTTCCACCTTACTGCTGGAATTTTTTTATATTATCACATTAAAATAAATTTTGATTTTCTGTGTTAGTGTATAATCTTATTTATGCATTTTTTACATGCAAACTTTTTTTGGTGAATGGGAGACGGAGCAGTGCGAACATAGTTAATAATATATTGTTCATTATACAAGAGCTCTCCAATCTTTTTTTACTGCGTACTAGATCTGTGATACGCTTCGGCGTCACGAGCCCAACTATTTTTATATATTGATAGAGATAGGTAATGAAATTAAAGATTTACAAGAATTATTTTTAGTAATTTGTATATTAAATATATTTTCAAAACATCAATTAACTTGGCAGCCCCGTAGGTTGGAGACCCCTGAATTATACCCATTATTACCTAAGAGTGGGAAGGGGTGGATGGTCAAAAAAAAGGTAACCACATCTAAAAACAGTCTGCCGGATGCCTATACATTTCAGTTATATGGTATCCACGCTCCCTCCAGAAACGAATATTCAGATATCGAATAGAACTAAACAATTTACCTTTTGAATTGGTCGGACTGATCAGTGATAGTGTTCGTCAGTCGGCAACTAGTGAGACACGTCGCAGTGACTCCGACGATAATAATATTATAAAAAACTCAATTCAACTGAAAACATACAAATCATTCAGGAACAAATTAAAAGAATTAATAATTACACGTGAAGTGATTGCTGTGTTTAAATTACTCGTGTTAAAATATATAAACTGCATTATTTTTCTTTTTTTAGAAAACTGCTATTTGTTGGCGTTTACGACGGATCAACAATCCGCTGTTTCAACAGAAATGGTAATGACTAATGAGTAAAGTACTGAGATTATTTTTAATATTTTATATAATTCCCTCGAACCGTACTATATGTCTAGTTAAATCATTGATCTTGCACTCTTTTGAAGTAGGTTTTCCACTGTTCCACTGTATCACGATTTGAATTATAACTACCAAATATTCGAAAAACGATCCTGAACGTATACCTATGTGGTTAATACCACGATTACTTAAGTTATAAAAACGTTTCTCTGTTGGTTCTTCGTATCCATAAAAAAAATATATGTACAGCTAATATGATTTGTAGTAAGACCATAATATTACATTGTATATCAATGCTATTGTCATATTTTAACAATATTTATTGGTCTTGTCTTATATAACTGCCTCCAGTGATATGATGTGCCTACATAATATCAACACAAACTCATTAAGAAATTGCTGAAAATACAAACAAACAATTATTGATTCACAGTGATATATTTATAATAACAATACTCATACTGCTATTGCATACATTATTAATACTTAAAGCGTATACAACAATTAAATCTAATATTCGGTTATCTAAATGTATAATATTTCTTTCGTCAATTAACATTCATATATTTACGACAAAACAAAAAGTAGGAAAATATAATTAATAGGAATAAATAAATTGTTTTTTTCAAAGAAAATCCTAATCTGTTTATGATTTTAAAGTTTAGTGAATTGATATGAATAAAATATTTTTTAGAAATTAAAGATATGAATATACTAAATCCCATTTCTACCAATGTGGTTATACTCAACTCTAAGTAATAAATTATTGAGAACAAGTCGGTCTCCCAGTGTTGGCGTAGAATGTGTATTCATAGGTGTATGTGTTCATATATAGATCTCGTATAATATTACACTGGTCAGAGTAGAATAATTCGCGTCCCCTCGTCGTTGTTTTAGTAAAATAAAAACATAGCATAAAATTCGTAGCAAATAAATAATTAAATTAAAAATATGTTTATTATACAACAAAAAATTACCTGATTTACAGAATTCTGCAAAAATTAAAGTCAACAACGTCGATATTAATTATTTTAAAGTCGGAAATGGACCACAGAAACTGTTGATATTTCCAGGAGCACTAGGTACGTCTACCTATTTAACAATATAACAATTTATCTGTAGCTTTCTCAGGTTTCGGCTTTGAGAGTTCGACTGTCGACCAATTCGGCTACAGTGATATTATTATAATGCAAATACATGTTTCACCATATAGGTCAAGTCAGTGATTTTACACCGCTTACGGAAAATCTCGACCAAGCAAAATACACTATATATGTATGGGATCCCCCGGGTTACGGTTCGAGTCGACCGCCGAACAGAGATTTTTCACCGGGATTTCTGTACCGGGACGCCGACTGCGCAATCGCACTCATGGAGGTAATGAAACTAAACATACTTTGTACCCGGGTAGATACGCCAACGTACGATGCGGTAACGGTCATCAATTTTTTTCTCCCCCGTTTCGGACGTCGTCACAGGCGTTGGGCGTCGACAGGTACTCGATGTTGGGCTGGTGCAACGGCGGGTGCACCGCGCTGATCGCAGCTTCCAGAGCCGCCGACCGAGTGGACAAGCTGGTGGTGTGGAGCTGCAACGCGTACGTCACCGGCAAAGATCTCGAGTCTTACGAGACGACTCGCGACGTGCACAGCTGGCCAGATCAGTGGAGACTGCCGCAGTTCGAATTGTACGGCGAGAGGTACGTGTCGGACACGTGGTCCGGGTGGATAGACGCGTCCCGGACGATTCTCGACGAGGGTGGTGGCGACGTGTGTAAGGGCGCTCTGGCACAGATCGACGCGCCCACGCTCATCCTTCACGGGGCACAGGACGTCTTAGTGGCGGTCGAACACGCCTTGTATCTGCATGAGAACATCAAGAGCTCGACGTGAGTGCAATAAATATTCTCAAGAGTAGGCGACATTGTATCCGAGGGGGAGGGTAATAGGGTATGCCGCAGCAGTAAAAAATATAAACGCACGACCCATACTATAAAGTTTCGATTTTTGTTTAAAATATACTGTTTAACCAACCTTTGAAGTATCAGTGTTTATAAAGAATTAAATTTTGAATTTCGATGTTCATTTGGAAAAAGCTTTAAAAAAGGCGTCTCGTCCTAACTTGTTGTCATCATCTCACAAATGCATATACCATAGGAAAATGTACGATCTGCAGTTCTGCAAGTATAGTTAGTTTCGTTAGTTTTAATATTAATATATTAATAAGTTAATAACAGTGTCTGTAGTTCGTGGGATGCAATTTTTCTGCATTTTTATTTTTAACGAATTATAAATGTGTATACGATATTAATATATTACCTATTATTTTAAAGTGTGATATGATCATCATGAATTCATGAATTACCGTAAATAACCTTTCTACGATACCCAAAAGTGAATTGCACATGTAAGGCAGAGAAAGCAATTCTAGGTGAGACGCCCTTAATGCTCGTAAATTTCGACTAGTTTCCACCTATAGTTTGTGATTAGTGTTGGTTTTGAGCTTAAGTGGACTCGAAATTTGTTTTTGTAAATATTTTAAAATATATTCATACGAATTCATACCTTTAATCTATATACATAACTAAATCCTCAGGTATAAGTTATAACTTATCACGACAATAGTGTATAACGTATATTAACAAAGAATCACAACAATTATTAATCATGAAATTTTTTTTGTATTGTAGACTTGAAATATTTCCAAATGGCAAGCATATCATACATTTTATGTTCCCAGAAAAATTCATTTCGATGGTGGATAACTTTCTTACTTCTATACAGTAATAAATTAGTTGCTCCTTATTATTTTATACTTGTATCATTAATTTATATTAAATATTTATTAATACATATTATTTTACACTACAACCTAAGTAACCTAACACTTATTGAAAAATAACATTTAATTTCAATTTGGAATAATATAAAGGTTATATTTTTAACTTGGAGTTCACGAAATAAATAAAACATGAAGGATAACTACGATAACTATATAAAAAAATATATACTATGCAGTATACAATATACAGCAGGTCAATATATTATATATATGTATATTAAACAACAAATTCAGCCACAAATCTGGATATGGCACTGTGTTGTAGTACTTTCGTCTACTTCGGTACATTTAACTATTTAATAAAAATCACAAATGTATCGTTATACTTGGATATATGTATGAAATGAAAGTAACATAATTTTTGTAAAGTAAAGTAAACTTGATAATAGTATTCATTTTGATATATTTAAAATACTAACACTTTGAAAATTTGAAGACATATTAGCTTACAACTCTGCCTAAGAACTATATTATGTAGTAGCATTGATTATAAATAGTATAAATAGAATTTATAATCATTGGTACTAGGGTACAATTAGGTAAGACTAATTTATTCTGACTTAAGCTCTTTAGTTTATACAGTTCCTGTGTTTATATCCATTATTGCTGTGGCGTGATCATGGTGTTATTGGCTAAACAAAATGATGCAAGTTATCATGCATAGAGATCAAGGATAAAAGTTATTGTATTTATGCTAATCTAATATTGTTTCCACAAATATGAATATGCAATAACAAGATAAGTTACCTTCTGTTAAGCGGTTAAGCCTAAGTGGAAGCTTTTTCTGAAATACAATATTCTACAAGAAATATGGGTCATTACAACTAGTAATATTTTATTATAGATATTTTTAATATTATTACCTACGATATATTCGAATTTAATTAGTATCACTTACGTGTTATTTCATATCCTAAACCTCGAGCATTGTAATATAATTATAAAAATGGCAATTACTAGTTTCGAACATATAGCTTTCTCTAAAAATAATTACTAAACAAAAAATAAACTATTAAATCATGACTACAATATAAAGATGAACAGTAAAATATACAAATCAAAATACGAAAAAATTAATGTTTTACATTTTAAGGTACAATGTACAAAAATGCATTTTTATTTTATATAAAATAAATATATTTGTACTTAAATTTGACAATATTTTATACTTAATAAATGTTTGCTCTTAATGGGTTAGGTTATTATTAATTTGTATGTGTTTTGATTCGATGACCGTAAATCTCGATGCGTCAAATGTGAACAAATAATAATGTATCAGAAGAAATAGTACCATAACTCTGTCAATTGTGCAAAGGACCATGTACGGCCGATTTTAAATCTTACCAATATTCAAATTAATTATCTTTGTTGGCGCACTGAAAATTATCATTTCAACTTCTACAAAAATACACCCCTAATTCCGAAAAAAGATTTTCTAAGCTTCTCTCACCAATACTCCTCATCAGACCAATCAATCCTATGTTTATCTTAGTTCTAAACTTTAATGAAATAGTTCACCTCAAAATCCGAACATTCAATGAAAATTACCAAAATTCTATTCCGCCCTAACATCTATGTAATAAATCTAAATAATACCATTTAAAAAATAAGTTTTTTAATTATTATGAAAGTTTTTGAAAAATCAATTTTTGTTTTGTTATTACTAAAATATTGCTATTGCTATAAATTGTTATGTTAGTTAAACGGAAGGTTGAAACATGATAGAAATAACCAGGTATGATCATTTATCATGCTAATTCGATGCTCATCATGTACTAACGTCACGTGCGCAACAAGTACAATTAATTTCATAGTAAAAATGCTGCAAAGTAGACGTTACTCTACAGTTTAGTATTTACACATAGTATTAATAATAGTAATTAATTATGTGTAGGTAGTGAATAGTGAGCAATACTTGCCATATTAAATCGGTATTCGATGTGATCATTATCTGGTTATTTATCTTACCATTGGTTAAAGTAGTTTTTGCCGAGGACAAATTGCATAGGGATATTTTATTGTTATTATTATTATAAGGTTTTACTTAAAACGCTATTAGCTGTTATTAACTATTTTAAATCAGTTGTATACCTAACATCGTACCGTAAAATATCGAGCTTAAATTTAATCTACATAGTATTATCTCGAAAATTGCATTGTGTATAGTTAATAATAACATATTATACCAACAACGTAATTGCAAAAAAAAAATGATCAACGATTGTACGAATGATATTTATTGGATTTCAACACACTAACTAAAATCGTAATTTTTCTTCAAAATATCCAATTTGGTCAAAATGGCAACCCAATGTAAAAAAAAAAAAATATATATATATAAATACAAATTATGCATATAATATGGGTTTTATTTTTATTGATATTTTTAAATTGCTGTAAAAACTTAGCAAAAATTATACCTTAAAGAAATCAAAAATCTGAAACGTCTAATAGGAGTAAAAATATTAAGACACAATTTTTTAGTGAAAATGCAACTCTAATCAGTAGGCTTAATCGGGTGTGCACTCTAAGGTCGAAATTTCTACTTGAAAACCGTTTGGTATTATGTAATATGTTATTAATTATGTTACACTTTGTAACCACAAAACAATTTTTCGTAACAATTCAGGACTCAAGTAAAACGGCTTTCCAAATTACAGGTGCCAGGATAAGATGGAATTACATTATAGCTACAAAAAAAGAAGGAAAATCTTGTAATGTTGTTGTATATAAAATAAATTGTAAAAATGTATAGTTAACATTTCAAATTTATTCACCACTATATTATTCGTCACTGTATCAGTGTATGGCAGTGGATCGCCAAAATGAAGGTGTTACAACATTAATTCATTATGATAAGTACAGAAATTCCTCTCGCCCCCACCAAAAGAAAATCGCTGTAGCCTCCCAAAAATGCAGAGCTGTAATATAGTATTTACAGGTTAAAAATTGCAATCTCCTAACTTTGAAACTCTAATTGCGCTTAACTGTTGATTTTTAATTAATTTTAAATTTCAGTTATGTTATATTTTACTTACATAATTAAGAGTTACATGTTATATTACCAATATTAAATTAACTTAAACTATGACAAAATAAAAAGATAGTTACGACTGCGAAGTGCGAATGCACCTACACGTCACCACAACCGTCTTTCATAGCCATTTATTTATGTAGAATTATGGCTTAGACGCTTATTCTATAATTATTAGAATACTGACATTCTGTATACAAGATATCTTAATTTGTGGCAATACTACTATTAATTGCTTTATTGGCTCTAGTGCTATACAATTTTACTATATACAATGTTAATATGCTATTAATAGTATTACTTTTTTTTGTATTGTATCTACCTAACTGTAGTATGGTACCACCTAACCACCCACTTCCCACCACTTAAAAAAAGTGTGACCGCTGTCAAACCTTTAGACCGTGTTCGACGCCACCGAGTCTGTATACTTAGAATAGGATATTTCACTATTTATTTATTTATATTGATAATGGTAATTTTAATATTTATTACCAAGTGGCGAATAGCACAACTGACTAGTATTTGCCCAAAATATCAAGTATATTATCCAACAAATTATTATAATTTTATATTTAATATTCTCCATTAATTATTTAAATTTTGGTTTCATAACTTATATTTTTCAAGTTCACAAATTTATGTCGTTACTCGTTATTTAAACAGTAAAACGTGTTAGGTATGATTTTTTAAATTGTATTAAGAAGTAATTCTAAATTATTAAATATTAATGTATAATTCGTTATCTAACACAGGCTATAAGTTTTTAAAGATAACTATAATAATGTAAATAAATGTATAAATGTAGTATATTCAACAAAAAACAGTAGTATAATTACAATTTTTATTCGCTTTTAGATTCATAAGTAAGTCAGTTGTTGGTTTAAAACACTCATATTGTATTTTATATATACTTGAAGTTTAATGTGGGACGTATTAAATTTAAAAAAATAATAATTTATATCAACGACAAAACCATAATTGATTTGTATACTTAGATATTTTAATTAATTAAATCAAGGTATTCGAGGGACCAGTGGGGTCACGACATTTTTTTTGTCGATACAAATTGTTAACTCTTAAGTAATAAATATCATAATATCAAACTGTTTTCAAGTATAAATTGTAATTATTTAAGGTTTGGGGTGCTGGGGTAACATTACTTTTGATCCCGGATTTTGGAACGCCGTTTTCCGTGACTCCGGTGTGGTAACAACATTTTTTTGTACTTACATATTGTTACATGATAAATAACACAACTCCAAACGGTCTTCAAATAGACATTTTGATCTTGGGGTGCCAGGGTAACACACCTGGTATACCTTCAAAGTAGAACATTGAAGCATTTTTAGTTATTACTGCTCCAAAAAAATGGAGGAAAAATTAATAAAACGCACACACAAACATCATTGTATAATCAGTATAATCATAGCACAGCTCAGTGACCAAAATAGTGACACATTTTTCAAACAATTACAAATTCAGTAGTTACCTTAAATTACATATTTTGAAGAAAAAAAATATTTAGATGAGAATGCGGGTGTTTAATGCCTTTGTTTTGAAAAATTGTAAACTAGCCAATAATCATATTTCTTAATCATTAGAATCAAGTCTATTATGGAAGATATTAGATAGCTTATTTCCCAATAATCTATGTTATCTTGGTCATTTTTATTACTTTGAAAAATTGATATATCATTATTCATTATATTATAAGATCAATTCTTATACAAGTTGCATAATATCATGTTATGTGACGATCCAAAAGTACTGATCAAAAAAACTATGTGAGTATACATAATGTATCATAGTCATATCACTCATATCATTATTGGAGTAGTAAACTATGCACCTAATATATGCAACTAACATTTTCTTGACTCACTGCCAAAAGAATGAACTTATACTACCTTGATTGTCTTTATCGTGACCACTATTTAATTCGGAAACTAGAATTTAAATTTTTAGTATAAGATACCGAAAACTGGTCTTATATGATCATGGTGGAACTGGTCGTGACTTGTGGCGTCG